ACCTCGGGGCCTGCCTGCTGGTCCCCACCCCCTCAGGAAGTGGGGAGGGAGGAACAGGGGCTTTGCAGTCTCCTATCCAGGCTGGAATTTTTGTTCCACTGTCACTAGCTTGAATTCTCACAGAGCCTCACAACCTTTCCCCTCACAGGGTGGCCCTGAGGTTCTGGTGAACTCAGGTGAGAAAGTACTATGTTTGGGGCTCTCCTGGCTGTATTTCTGTAGAAAAAGCCCAAACTCAGCTTTATGATGCTAGCAGTAAATGCTTGGCCAATGCCGGCCCTGTGGTGGGTATGCACTAGCCTCAAACACTCAGTCCCGTTTAATTTCATCCCCACAATGACACTTAGAGGTAGGTGTTAGAATCCCGTTCTTACAGATGAGGAAACTGAGGCCCAAGGTTGAGCAGCTTGCCCAAGGTCACACGAGTTAGTTGTGGAACCGAACTTGAACCCAGGCCAGGCCGACTCCTAAGGCCTGTGTACAGACAGCCTCATGTCATGGTGGGTCGGTTGAGAGGTCACGCAAGCCTGCTCCTTCCTGCCAAGACAGGTGGGTCTCCTCTGCTCTAGGCCTGTTGTTCCAGATGGTTCTTGAAGGCACTAAGATCTCTCAGCTGGCTGGTCTCATTTCCTGGCTCATCACTGTAGGCCACACCTTTCTCCAGGAGTCTTCCACAGTTCCTGGAGACTCCTTGGCCCCTGTCCCTCTGACTCCACCTAGTACTTTCCACCCACTTCCTTTGGCCCCATGGGTCGCATCACCCAAGCCACTGTCATTCTACTCTCCCTTTCTGCTGTTCTTCATGTCCTTTCTGCCTCGTCTTCAAGCCTCAGCTCTAGAGCCACCCTGTCTCTCGCACTTTCCTTCCTTTTCCTCTTTCGTAGGTGTTTTTTGGCATCTGCGCTGTGGCAGGCCTGGGTCTGTCCCTGTCCCGTGGGAATGCCTGTCTGATGGCGGAGGTGGCTCACAAAACAGTGACCACACAGCTTGGTTAGGGCTGTGATAGAGACAGACGAGGTTGCGGGGCCAGGGAGGCCCTAACTCTCTCTGGGGAAGAGGTGGTAGGGGCTTGAAGAGGGTGGATGAAGGGCTCACCTGGCGCATAGGGCAGATAAAGGGATCCTAGGCAGAAGCAGCACCCACATGGTGGGGGGGATGGAGCTGGGTGAGAGTGGTGCTCTGAGGAATGGCATGTGGTCTCTAGCTTGGGAGAGCAGCTGCAGGACCCGCAGAGTGGAGCCTTGATCCTGAGAGCAGCAGGGAGCCATTGAGGAATCTTGAGCAGGGGAGGTGTCTGGTCAGGCTTGCTCTTCAGAAAGGTCTGTGTGGTCCTGAGGGACAAATGAAGTCCCACAGTGGGGGGAGTTATAAAGACTGGACCTAGTGTCCCTGCAAGGCAGGATACAGAAAGCTATGGTTGTCATGTTGGTGGATTTGCTGTTGGAAAACATGGGCCTGGTGCTTGTGGAAGCTAGAAGGAGGTGGAGAGACTGGAGGCCTGTGGACAGGCTGTGGGAACAATCTAGTGAGCTAGCAGTGCCTAGGGGGGACCTGAGGGTTTAGGGAGGTGGGCCTACAGTGGGGTCAACAGTCCTCACCCTCTGCCTTCCTTGTGAGGATCCAGTGGGGTGGTAGACATGAAAATCAGTTTGTGAAGCAGGGACATGGGACTTGGTAGTTGGAAGAGAGAGGAAATCGGGGTTAAGTCTGTTGGTATGGGGTTGCTGTCACAGGAGGGCTCATCCTGGCTCCTCAGCTGTGTGACCCAGGGCCAGCCTTTCCCTCTGTGTGCGTCATTCTCCCTAGCTATGAAGGATTGGGTGAAGTGGTCCCTCCTGCTCTGACCCAGCAGGTCTGTGACATGGCTGTGGCCCAGGAGGAGGGACACAGGGCCCATGGTGTAGCCAGCTGAGGCCAGGTCTGGGCTGACCAAATCTGGCCAGGTCTGCTGTGGTCTGGGGCCAGTGTAGGCACATCTACCCTCTGAGAGGGCACAAACTCTGACCCCCAGATGCCCTCCCCACCTTCATAGCAGGCTCTGCCCTCCCAGTCAGCTGTCTTGGCTCAGCTTGGCCTGGCCGCCCCAGGCCTTGACTCCATCCAGGGCCTCTGCTCTCCCCGTGACTGGCCCTGGGAGGAGTGACCTGGCTCTGGGGCCCCATTGGCTGAACGTGGTCTGGGCTGCAAACGCCCCTGCCTCCCAGGCTGGCTGCCTGCCCAACTTGGGATGGGAGGAGGGCCAGCCTGGCCTGCCATGACATGGGCAAACTGCCTTGGAGCTAAGGAAGGAGTTGGAGTCTGAGAGGCCGTGCCTGGGGCCACTGGTGCTGCTCTGTCCCCTCCACTCATGCTCCAGCCCAGGGGCTCTGCGCCCCTCACTTGGATGAGAGTGGGGGATGGCCACAGTGGGTCTTGTCCCTCAGTTTGCCTGGGAGCTCAGCCCTGCTCAGAGGAGCATGATATTTCCTGTCTGATAGCATGGCAGGACCTCTCAGCTTTCTCAATGGAAATGTCAGCTGGGCATGCGAGAATCCTGTAGGGGCAGAGTCCAGTCCTGGAACGAGGACCGGGGGTGCCTTAGGGATTGGCAATCTTCCCCTGCCCCTGCCTGCCCAGTGAGTGACAGATGAAGTTCAGGAGAGGCAGGGACGTGCTCAGAATCACATAGCACCAGAAGGACAGGGCTAGGCTTTGAACTCAAGTCTGTCTCTGCTCATCCCTCCACAAACCTTTGATGAGGTCCTACTGTGGGCCAGGCCCTTCTAAGCATGAGCACTAGAGTAGGAGCTTCTCAGAGGGAATGGACCAGTTTATCTTTGTTCTCTTGACGTTTGGTCTCAGGGCACAGAGGAAGTGCTCAGTGAATGAATGAATGAATGAATGAATGAATGAATGAATGAACAAATAAGGCAAAGATCCTGCCTCCTCCAGGCCTGTAGAGTCCAATGGGAGGGTAGCGACTCCTTTTCATAGAACAGGAAATAGGAGGCTGTTGAGAGTGGAGACTGACCAGGTGAAAAGCAGAGGGAGGACTGGAACTCAGATGTCCCACCTGCTGGTCTAGGGCTGTTTCCATCCTCACTTTCCACATCTGTAAAATGGGGTCAACAGTCCTCACCCTCTGCCTTCCTTGTGAGGATCCAGTGGGGTGGTAGACATGAAAATCGGTTTGTGAAGCAGGGACATTGCGTGTAGGGCTTCCTTGTGTGCATGCCTGGAACTGCCCAGAAATCCCATTATGTTCTGCTCCCTTTCTTCTGACCGCTTACCCTTTGCATCTTGCCTCCCCCATTTCCCTAGCTTGCTCTATGGCTTCTTTCTGGAATGTTCTGCCCAGAACCCCTAGCTGTGGGACAGGTTTGGGAAGAGTACGGGTGACTGGAGTCTCTCTGCCTCCTCCCTCTACCGTCTCCCGCACCCAGAAAGGCGGCCATGCAGCCACATCTATGCGGGCCTCCAATGCACAACAGGCCGGAAATGCCTTGGCAGTGGTTACCATGGTGACAGGTCCTGCTGCTTGGACCACAGTGGTCTGCCAGACACCTGCAGGAGCCTGCAAGCCTGGCAGCCTGGCACCCTGCAGGGCCTCTTCCCAGGCTGAGTGCTCCTGGGGCTGCCTCGTCTCTCTCCTTGATGCCGAGCACTGTACCTCATACCCAGGGGTTCTCAGGAATGAGCTGCCTCTCTGGGGACCCATAAGCTGTCCTGGGTCAGACAGGCCTGGTTTGAATCCCAGTTCTGCTACTTGGGGGTCGGTGACCTTGAACAAGTCACCTTGGCGTGTTTTGAATTGGTTAAATTGGCTATGGAGCCTCATGGGGGAACTTAGCCAAGGAGGACAGACCCCAGCACAAGAGCCATCCTTGCTCCCGTCTGCAGCCGTGGTGGGGTCAGTGTTGGGTCGTGGCACTGGGGCATCTCAGCCCCAGCAGTAGACAGTGTAGTGTGGTGGGTAGGACCTCAGACTCTGTAGCCAGACCTTGGGCCACAGCTGTGCTCGCCACTTCCTGGAGCCTCCCCTGCAGAGTGAGGGTAGCGACGAACCCACCTCAGGGGTTTGTTGAGTGGATAAAATGGAATTGGGACATGCAAAGTGCTTAGAAGAGTATTTGACGCCTAGGAAGCGTGCTGTAAATGTTGGCAGCAACTGTCCCAGTGGCCACGAGAATTGGAACTCGTGTCCCTTCTCTCACACAGGCAGGGGTACTCAGCTGTCGTTCACAGCCTGTTAGGGAGAGCGGGCCAGAGAGACAGGAGGCCCCCTTCCTCATCCCACCCCATGCAGAGTACTGCCAGGTGCCCCCCATCCCTTCTGCCTGGGGACAGGCAAGCTGGGCCCTGGGCAGAAACTCCACCTCCAGTCCGAGTTTGAGGACTTTCTCTGCTGTTCCTCCAGCCGGCCACTGCTGTCACCCTGGCCTGGATCAGACAGCTGGTTGGTGGCGGCCCAGAGCCCTCCCGGTCAGGAAAGCCAAGTGCTGAGGACAGATGAACACCCAACTGAGGTGCCACCTCTGATGTCATCTGAAGAATGAGGGAGCCCGAGGAAGGGCGCTCAGGGGGTGAGATAGGAGCTGCTTCTGGGGACACTATATGGGGGACAGATCCCCAGACCTGACTGCTAGAGTGCTCACCAGGCCTCCCTGCATGGGGAGGGGCGGGGATCTTTCGAGAATGAAGGTCAGTCTGAGGCACAACTTTAGCAAGCTGGCCCACGAGCAGAAGGGAGGACTGAATCTCTCTCCCCCTCCCTCAGGTTCAGCCAAGGTCCTGCTAACATGGAGTTGGTGTCCAGAAGGAAGCTGGGCGGAACTGGCATCCAGTGAGCCCCCTGGGCTCCGAGTGCCTGGGCTGGAGGGTGGTGGCCGCTCTTGGAGTTGGGGTCTGGTGGGAGGTGGCCCCGGGGTGCTCTCCGCTCCCCCTCTGGCACTCAGTCTTGGGACGCGCAGACCTGGGAGAGCCTGCAGCGAGCTGACCTTTCTGTCCCCACCTTTTCCCAGGGCATCGCGTCTGTGTTCTCGGGCCGCACGTCCCGGAAGTCAGCCTCTCGCGCAGAGCACGCCGACGGTGCCATGGTGGACAGTGAGGGGTACCGGAGCCCCACGGAGGTGCAGATGAGCCAGATGGTGCTGCCTTCCCACACCAACCAGCGCGGCGAGCTGAGTGTCGGGCAGCTGCTCAAGTGGATCGACACCACCGCCTGCCTGTCCGGTGAGGCTCCGCCTGGCACAGGTGTCCTCCCGCCGGTGCCCGCCACCCCGAGGAGAGGCCTCGATCATCAGAGATGGTCACTGTCCCCCCGAGCGCCACGCTCATTCCTCATCCTGCTCTCTGCTCACGCTGGTCCACCTGCCTGAAATGTCCCCTCCCAGTTCTCGATGCTCAGCTCGGGCCCACCCTCTCTCCCCCAGACGCCCACAGCTCTGAGGGCTGGCCTGCACCCTCGGGTCCCTGCTCCAACACAGTGCCGCCTCAAGTGGGGCTGCCCCAGGCTGGCCTGAGGGCGCCGTGAGCCAGGGCCACGGCTGCCTGCCTTCCTGAGTTGAGCGGAGCTGAAGCGAGCTCATTCCTCTCCTTTTGGAGTCTGAGTATTCTCCAACCCACAGGGAGCTCGCAGCCCAGTGGGGGCACAGACAGGTGACTTCCCTGCCCTGCTTGATGGGGGCTGGGCAAGAGGCACAGTTGGGTCTGTGGGAGAACAGATCAGAGGCCCTGACCCTGCCCCAGCAGGGGAGGGATTCCCAAGGGACTAAGGCGGCGGCGGTGAGCACAGTCCCGAGGGTAAGAGTGACTCAGCCAACAAAACAGAGGTGGGTGAAGCCCACGGCAGAGGCCAGAGGCGTGGCACCTGGGAGAGCTGGGAAGTGGAATAGCCCAGGGTGATCACTCAGTCGTTCAACAGCCGCTCATTGAGTGTCTACCTCGGGCCAGGCGCTGCTCCCGGCCCAGGGCCCAGCAGTGAACAAGACGGGCAAAACTCCCGGCCCTCAAGCGACTTGCCGTCTCCCAGCAGGGAGAGACACCAGACAGACAAAACCAAGATAAACAAAGAGGGTCAGTGTGTATTAGTCATCGAGGTGAAGAAAGAGGAGGGCGGGGGTGTGGGCCAAGAGGCACAGCCTTAGCTCGGGCCACCTGACCATTGCTCAGAGGCCTGGTGACATGGGGATGCTGCTAATGCACGGCTTTCTTCCGATACCAGCCGAGAGGCATGCTGGCTGCCCCTGCGTCACCGCTTCCATGGACGATATCTACTTTGAGCACACCATTAGGTAAGTGGCCCCCCCTGCTTCTTGGTCCCCTTGGTCTGCCCACCACAGAGCCGGGGCCCCTCCTCCATCTCCCCACCTGGTCGGCCTGTGAGCTGCCTGGAACCCTGGAATCCGACTCGACTGACTGAGGGCCTCTGCAGAGCAGGTACAGGCCCGTCTGCAGGGGTCTGGGGGACCCATGGGCCAGGAGCTGGCCTGCTGCTGGGTGCTGTGGGGTGGGTTCCCGTGACCAGGTTTGCGGTTGGACGTTGCTGAGGCGGCATCGTGGGGTGCTGTGTGACTTCGGGGAAGTCAGTCTCTTTCTCTGGGCCTCAGTTTTCTTATCTGCCAAATGGAAGGGATTAGACTTAATCGGTGCTTGTCCTTTGGAACTTGGACATTCTCTGGGGGTTGTTGGTCACTGGACTGTAGAAAGGTTTCTAGGCAAGGTCCTTTGGCAAAGCCTGAGTCAGAAGCTTGGGCCATTCAACCTCTGCTTACATACCTTCTGGAACGAGGAGTTCACTACCTCACAGTTTTGTTTTGTGGTTGCCTTTTAAAATGTCCATCCTGGTTAGAAAATTCTTCATCACCCTGTGCCAAGCTTTGCCTCCATTTAGCTTTGCTGGGACTCATGCAGCATGCCAAACCCTTGGCCCAGGACAGGCCGCAGGGGTTGCATACAGTGTTCTGGCCTCCAGGACTGCTCCTGAACTCAGCATCAGTGCCTAGGACACCAGACGCCAAGGGCTGATTCAGGGCTTTCTGGGTACCCAGCATGTTGCGGTTAAGGAGAGAATTTGGCCAATCCCTGTCTTCATTTATTCGGTCCTTTGTCACGACTAGCATCTGTTCCGGACCAAGGCCCATTCTGGGTTTGGGGTATGCAAAGTCAACTGGAGCATAGTGCTTGTGCCCCAGGAACTCCCATTTGTCAGGAGGCAAATGTAGAAACATAATTTCAATTCAGAGGGGTACCTGCCTTGCTAATAATGAACTCTCACATATGGGTGCTTTGTAACACTTTTTCTAAATATCTTTTATTTCAGTTTTTGATGTACAAAAAAGTTGTATCTCAGAAGATCATATGGAGAGTTCCTACATATCTCACACCCAGCACCCAGTTTCCCTATTATTAACATTTTAATTAGTACAGTACCTTTGTGACTATGAATGAACTAATATTGATGTGTTATTTGTAATGCCTTTTTAATACATTAACTCATTTAATCCTCGGAACAATGCTACGAGGTTCTGGCTATTAGTATCCTCATTTTACAGATGAAGAAACTGAAGGTCATACAGCTAGTGGAGGACCCAGGAGCCCCAGAGCTCTTGTTTTTAACCAATGGGCCACATTTCCTATATGTCTGGGGGTGAGTGTGATGGCATAGAGGGTAGTCAAAGGGGGCGCCCTGGAGGAGGTGTTCGAGCGGGCTTCAGTACCACCAACACCATATGTATGACATTCTGAAGGCCAGAGGAGCTGTGTCTGGGCCAGTTCTAGGTCTCTGCTGCCAACACAGTTTTTGGCACTCAGAGGAGGCAGGGAGGAGAGGGCTGGGGGTAGGGAGTGGGCATGCATGATGGATGTACCTGCTGTAGGACTCAGAGAGTGAAGGTGAGTCTGGGCCAAGGAGGGTGTGTGTGGGAGGAGAAGCCAGAAAGGATCCTGGGAAGGAGGGCAAGCTAGGGATGGGTCAGGAGCAAGGTTGGTGAGGAAAGGCCTGGCTGCCCCTGAGGCAACCTGCAGAAGGTTTTTTGGTTTGTTTTTGTTTTTGCCATTTAAAAATACTTCAAAATGTATCTCTAAGTGGTAAGAACTCCTTTAAGCACCTCAACATCATTGCTACACCTAAACAAAATTAGCAATAATTTCTCGTGAACATCAAATAGCCAGTCAGCATTCAGGGGCTGTCTCCTAATTTTGTTTTTATTTTGTTTTGCTTTATAATTATTTTTGTTGTTCAAGTCAAGATGCAGATAAGGTTGCAACTGATTGCTGTGTCTCTTAAGTCTTTTTTTTAAGATTTTATTTATTTATCTGACAGAGAGAGAGACAGGAGAGAGGGAACACAAGTAGGGGGAGTGGGAGAGGGAGAAGCAGGCT